ACAGTCTGTTACTGCCTTGACATAAGTTGCACATAATGAATCTCTCAAGTGTGAGAGATTGAAAATGCAGAAGGACAGGAGGCGTCCAGATACCTGTCACCCTTTCCACCCAGAAGTAATTATTTGCATGGTACACTTACACAAACATATATATATAGTTCTAGTCTTCCAGAAATGTGTTCTAATATAGTCATTTTTCTGCAAACCACAGATCTAAACTCCCATTTAAGTGAAAGTAGACAATAAAGCACATTAAAAGTGTCCAACAGTAGCCGGTGTTAGAGCAGTTAAGCTGCTGCTGTACATTTCATTCTCCATCGATATATACTGTATTTTCCGGAATATAAGTTGCACTTTTTTTTTAGAGTTATACTCAGGTGCAACTTATATATTAAAATGTATAATTTCACGTTTGTTATTTTCACATTGACAGCCACTAGAGGGCACTCTAGTTGGCTGGTGGGATTTATACTCCGGAAAATACAGTATGTTATGTGTTCTGAATATATGTTTCTGGAATATAACAATGTCATTTTTTTTTAAATAGGATTTAATCAAAAGCTTCTTTATGCTGGATATTCAGTCCCAGTTTCAAAAAATTGGGTCACCTAAAACAGCCGTGATGTCTGTTTGGGACTCACAAGGCTGCAAAGTGAGTTAAAATAAGCCCCATATGGGTTAGTCTTGGGCTGTCTGGTAAGAGTGGTTTTTCAATACCAATTGTAGACGTAGCTGTGAAGAACACAGCTGTATTAGGCCCACTCACTGCACATCTGTACCTGCAGTAGGGGGCGACAAAGAACACGTTGAATACGGTGACAAACTTCGAGACTAAGTTGCCATCTTGAGATATCCAGTCCCCAGGTTACCTACGGAGAATTTGTAGTGAATTTGTTACAGGATTGTTGGGGATGATATTCTGGTTTTCCTGGAGAAGCTTACATGTGGTGTGTTTATGGCGAGGGGGTGTTGATGCTATCAGGAGAAAACATGTTTTCAAAAGTCTGGTGCGTGATGTGCCCGAGCTTAACCACATTATCTATTAGCAGTAACTAGCTGTCATTATCGTTGTTTCCTCTTAGGTTGCCCAAAATTATTAAAACCTTATCAGATTAGCACGCACGTCTGCCGAGATGCGGGTAAATAAAGTGCTGTTGGGTCGAGGAACACTAGCCCCGCGCACACATCTGTGGTTTACAGAAACTTTAATGGCAACATATGTTCCTGGAGACTGGGCTGAACACACAGTACTCTCTTTCATAAAGAACCCACTGCTGATTCTGGTTTGGGTTTTTATTAAAATACTTAATGTCAGTGCATGTCCTTCTGTCCCCAGGAGAATTCCATGGAGTGTGGAGCAGCTGTGTCTCTCCTCTCATCGGTGGCAGTAACACTGTTTTGTGTCCTCCTGTCGCTTCTGTCCAGGTGACCACTGTTGGCCACGCCTCTCCATCCAGCACTTGACTAGGATTGGCTTGGCTTAGCTTGAAAAAAAAAAAACCAACAAAATAACCCTAATTGCAAAAATGCCACAGGAATAAAAAAGAAAAAAAGCACTACTGCTGCCCTCTTTGAAAAAAACGAACCACTTTCAAGTCACTATTTACAAAGCCCACAGCTCTGAGATAACGTTCACACAAGAAAGAACCGATTAAGAAAAGCCACAGGCAATAGTTATCGATACTGTGCTGAAATTCCCCCCAAAAAAACACATTTCTAAAGAAAAGGGAGTATATTGGAAACTATGAGTATTTGCCTTGCGCTCACATGTATGCATTACTTTTCATAGGCTGTACAACAGCTGGAGATCGAGTGCGTCGCTGATTTACTTCTGTATCCTAGTCAGGCCCCTGGTACGGTTTTGTACCAAAGCTGGTTAGCACATTGTTTTCACGCTAATTTATAGGCGTAATTTTAGACAATTCTTCAATCTGAAAAGTTTGTTTTTCAGCACTTGTCGTCATAGTCCAGACGTGGGCAAACTTTTTGACCCGCGTGCCACAATTGGTCCTAAAATTTGACGGAGGGACCGGGTCAGGAGCAGAAAGCTGGAGCTGTCATGCATAAAGGCTAAAATGCTAAAACGCTATTAGCCGTCGCTATGCCATCTATAGGGAAAATGTGGGCATTGCAAGGAAAAGACAGAAGTATAAACCAATTATATAATAATATAATAGTTTGGCGGCCGGATTACAAAGCTGAAACGGGCCGCGCCCGGCCCCCGGACCTTAGTTTCCCCATGCCTGTCATCTTCTCTGTTGAGAAGAATAGTTTGGCTTGCCTGCAAACTGTCAACAAAGGATAGACAAAGTCCTTCACCAATGGTCGTTTCAGCATTAGCAGTACTGAAAACTAATCTTTGATTAACAATAACTTGGCAGCTTGTTTTTGCACAATTATTAGGCTTTAAAAGCTGCAACAAAGGGGGCAAAATGATCCATCTGTCTTTTCTACGTGTCCATGTTGGTGCTCGTGCCCCCCACCACCAGCAAACACCTTAATTTCATTTCATTTAAAGTCTCTACTCACTTCATAAACCTTGAGGTTTCACTGCTTACTTGTGAGTGCAGCGCCCCCTTCAGTCCTTTCTGGTCACAGCTGAGGTCTGGGTTGTGTAGCTGGTTCTTGAACTCGGCATCAGTGCCACGTATCCCCCATGTGGAAGGAGGAATATTAAGAGGAGGACAGATGCACCTTGTGGAAGATTTAAAATGGTAATATATGTAGAGCTGGAGAAGATTATTAATGTCAGGGGTTGTAAAGAAAATGTTTGTCTAATGATTTTTTCCATGTCAAAAAAAAAAAACAACAAAAAACTTCTGGTATAAATATATATACAGTATGAAGAAAAACCGTGTTATTTATGATTCACCAGTGGTATACCATAAACTGTGACTATGAGATGTGAGTGGTTATTAATATTGGAGGTTTGCCTTATTGAACAAAAAAATAAAACTGTCTTGTTTGTGTACTTTTGAAGTAAAATTATGTTTAAAATAGTTCTGTTGTGGAACCGATGCCATATTTGTTTTGTTTTCCCCTTCAAAATCTACTGTACTTCTTTTAGAAGATCATTTCTCATTCCGATAGACCGTTGTCATCTGGAGGATCCTTCAACCTCTGAGACGTTCTTATGTTTTCTTTGTGTGTGAGTGTGTGTCTAACTATCTGTCTTTCTCACTCTACCACCTGTACAGTACACTCAGGCATTTTTGTTAGGGCTTCACGTTATCTTCCATTTACTTCAACAACCTAACTGGAACCTGATCCCTAAGTCAAAACTTTAAAACCAACACATTTAAAAACAAATTAATTATGGCACTGAACATTTTCTTGTAATCTGTAGTTTAAGCCAATTTTCACATATGGATGGAGATGTTAGTTACAATCCTAAAAGAGGTAAATTATTTGACCATAGATAAGGCTGAACCCAACTTTAACACATTCATGATTTACTGTATGTCCAAACATTGACTGCTGACTCAGAATTGTGGTTCTCAATGTCAGGTTTAGGTTCTCACTTCAACAAACAATTCCTTCAAATTTTAGACGTGAAGAGTGAAATCGTCCTACTGTACCAGGGTTTATTATGAATATGAATGTTTAGTATTATGCAGGCATCGTTTTGGCAGCTGTGTTACACCATGTAATTAGGGCTCTTACATTATGCACTTATGATACAAATGTTTTTTGCACACTGCAGGAGCTTAAAGTACCACCTTAACGTGTGGAGGCTTCGTCAAAGTTTCGACACATTCTTGAAGTAATCTGTCAAGGTGCAAAGTAACAACTTGAACTTCACCAGTTCTCTACATATTTTTGACAATTTGAATGATATTTTTCTCAATGTTTCTTATTGTGACTAATCCAAATGATTCCATCGTTTGGATTAGTCACCCATAAAAACAGGTCTGAAACACAGACATCGTCTTTAACCTTATTTATCATAATCTTGCTAAATTACAATCATAATTAGTCGTGATTACCTTAACCAAGTTTAACCTTATTAATCATAATCTTGCTAAATTACAATCACAATTAATTGTGATTAATTAACAGTTCCATCTGTAATTAATCTGATTCAAATTTGTGTCACTGGTTTAAATATCTACTCTGCTTTCTCCTCTTTTTTTTTTTTTATATGTACGATCAAACCTGAACCAGAACTCCTACCAGTCTCAGTCCTTCAGTATGGAATTCTGCACCATCAGGACCAGGTTTTGATCCCCTTAGGACAACATAACCCAAACCAGTCGGTGCCAAAGCCAGAACTGGGCCTAAATAGGTAAGAAGATTAATCCCAGACAGAGAGAAGGAGAGAGAGAAACAGAGAGGTAATAAAGACCATGACACTGGCCAACTACAACATCTGTATTTATTTAGGTAATAGACACAAACATTCAAATATTCTGACAAACATTCCCAGTTGCACATGTATGAAAGAGCGCTATTACTGGGCCGGAGCCGGGCCAACTCTTGTATATGGTTTAAGTAAAAAGGAAAAAATAAAGCAACAAAAGTTTTGTGTTAGTCCCAGGAGGAGGCCGCTCTGCTGTGGTCTCCACGTCAACACTGCCGTCCCTGTGTTCAACAGCCGATCACGCTCCGTCTCCGTCTCTGTCCCCACCTCCGCTCTCTCCCGCTTCACCGCTTCCTCCTCCTGCTGCTTCTTCTTCTGACGAGCTTGTTCTCACCATCCCGGGATCTACTCTCTCCTCCCGCGCTCTTCCCCCGGAGCACAACTGTCTGAATCTCTAATCATTCTCAGTGCCTCCTCTCTGCGCTCCACCGATTCCCTGACTTGCTGATGGGCCATTTATCACTGCATAATGGGATCAGGACTGTTTTGAGTCAACACGCATCTAATCGGGTTCCTTCATGCTTGCCAGATGACTTATGCATCCAATCTAGTGTGTACTCAGGGCCCAACACTCCTCTTCTTCTTCTTCCTGGGGAAGATGCCACGATGGCAGCTCCCGCTCCTCTTCTGTTCCTCCTGTGATGTCACGTCAGGGTCCTGTGAGTGATAAATGCTTGTCTCATGTTTGCTGGAAGCTGTTTTCCCCACACACAGGTGGAGGAAACATAAGCCATGCACATGCTTTCAAAAACTCATAGAGACCGACGGGCTCTTTTCCAGGGGGTTTCCCAACTCCAGCAGCTAATCCTGTGGGTGAGGGTGAAATTTCTGAAATGGAAATAGCCAAGCCATAAATTTGACAAAAGGCTTTGTCTTACCTGAAAAATAAGCTTCGACGATTTCCAGAACAAATCTATTTGATATGTATATTGTAATAGTTCCAAAAAATAATGCATAATGTGGTTAACAGATAGAGAGGAAAAAGAAATCTGAATAACAAAACAATAAACGCCGCATACGTACATCAAGCGTAAACTCTGAAATACCTTAGAACATTGTTTCCCAAAGACTGGGTTGCGACCCTCAGGTGGGCCGCAAGAGGTTTTTTTGGGGTCATCTCGCATCTTGTTTCCCAGGAGTTTACAAATAATGTCTATTGACCTGGGTCGCGACGGTTTGTGACTTTTAAGATATAGGTCCACAGAAAAAAAGTTTGGGAAACACTGGCTTAGAAAACGTACATCGGCAATACAGTTTGGTTATAACTGTAACTACATATATAGCATATTAATACATGCGGTTATAACTGTAAGACGGTGTAGATGGAACTACATATATAGCATATTAATACATGTTTCTGCAATTGATTATTATTTATTCAAGTTGCAAATATTGTTTATTGCTGTGTAACAAGAAAAAATTGAGTTTGACACACGTGCTTTAGAGGAAGGGCGTGCAAACTTTTTGGTGTGAACTAAAATAAATTCTAATATTCAGGGGAAATGTACGTTTAAAATTAGCCGGAACAAAGTTGTCCCCCAGATCCTTTGATGTTCATCACACTGCTCTCAGTCATTGTCAGAGCTAAACAACACCAGTGTTCGGTTGAAAAATTTGGCTTTGCTTAGTTAATCGTAAAACCCATCAATTTCAAAGGAGTTGAATTTCTCCTTTTTGGCTCTTTGTTTTGCTGCATTATTTACTGTCTCGTGGCAGACGGACCTACAGCCTTTGATCAAACTTTGGTAAACACATTACTCTGAGGGTGAGGGTGTGGTGGAGGAATGTGATGAAAGGAAATGAAACGACCTACCAAAAGAATGTTGAGTTCATTAGAAACAAACTCAACAGAACCACTGATCAGCAGGTGCTTTGAACTTCAAAAAGATGGCGCTAATGGCAATGACTGTGGTGGTTGTTATGGCTAGTCCACCACATAGTGTCATTCTAGATAAAGCCTAACAGCACAAATAAGTCGTAACAATGTTAGTACCGATGTTTGACGTGCAGCATTAGAAAGCCCAAGGGGCCGTATCTGGCCCACGTACCTTATTTCCCCCACGCCTGCCTAAAAGAATAGCAAATTGTAAATTGTTAGCATAAAATAACTAAAATCTGGACAAGGCTAAAAGTTGGTGTATATCAACTTAAAAGTTATCCTTAATAAATTAAGCCAATATCTTAAGTTCTGTTTTGCGTTTTTTACGACTGTTCTCCTGCATCTGTGGGCTGAGGAAGGACAGAGAGCAGCAGGAAGTGATTCTTCTTCAGTCTCTGCAGTTTGGTGGTACAATAAATCTAAGGCAGCACAGGAAATGAGGCACAAAAAACCTCTGGGTCTTAAAAATCTCACAAACACGGTCATCAATATGTCACAGATCCACATAATCAAGATAACTCATGCAGCTGTGAAAAGTTGCTTCAATAAAAACCACATTTAGAGAGAAGTGGGTTGGAGACGCAGCAGGAGCCTGTCCCGCTGCACCCACAGTCCCGCACCCATTGGACCACTCCGTCTGTCAATCACAGACTGCTCTAAATGAGACCATAACTTACACACTGACGTCAGGCTGTAATGAAAGTTCTGATTGAGCTCATGGAGACTCTTACTGTAGGAGAAACGTTTATTGATGTCATCAATCAGAGGAGAAATGAAACTCATTGTCTCATTAATCTCTAACTACAGACCCTGCATGTGAATATGTTAATTTTGTTGAAGAGGCGGTTTGGAACGGAAGAGCTTCTGCGGTCTGTTTCTACTTTGACCAATCGTGTTTGAGCAGTTCTCAGCTGCCCGTGGGCCAAATTGTCTGTGTCTTATTGTAAGAGAGGCGTGAAGTGACGGTCGCCAGCTGTCCTTCAGACATTTGTGGACTAACTTTTATCAGTTTTTCTGCAATATTTTCTACCCTTCGACTGTCTGTTTTACATTTGCATCGCAACACAGAAATGTTGCCGTTTTGCTAATATAGTTTTATTGTTCTCATTGGAATTGTCTTATAATAATAATAATTATTATTATTGTTATACAGGTTTATATATAATATTATAGCTTGATAAATATCAATAACATTGCAAATATTGTGGATTTTTTTGGGGAGCACATTTGCATATATTAAGAAAGCACTAGTTATACACTTTGATATTGTGTAATACAATTTGACAACATTGCTACCCGTTAGTAGTTGTCACTAGTTTTGAACTTATTTGTTCTTGTTTTTATATTTAGCAACATTTGGGCAAATCTGTGCTAACTTGTGCTGTGTGTTTTTGTTTTTTCTTGTTATTTTTAGTCATGTTTTGACCAAATATACATGGAGTCAATGTTTTAACAGGAATACATTTCCGCTACAATTTTCCTCCTTATCTTCAACTAGTTCTTGTCTAATTCTTACTCGTTCAAAGACCAATTCTTTCCTAGCTTACTCTTCTGTTATGTCTATTTTAATCTGTAGTTTTTTGACTCTTAGCCTTATGTTAAACATAGGGATACATGGTTAGCTACACTCCCCAGAGGCCGTCTGACCTAGATGACCATACCAACATTACAGTGTGTTTAGTCTACCAATTTCTAGGCAATCTTTCACCTGCCCCAGCCCTGGATAATAGTATGTTTCCCACATGTTTTACCCACTTTCTGCTAATTTGGCGTCCTTTTAGCCATTGATCCCCCATGATCATATTCCATAATTTAAGCAGCCAGAATTGATGCTTCTCTATTTATAAACCCTGTGGCTTCAAACGCCACTCTGCTTTAAATCCAACCAGATGTCCTCTCTGTATCTCCTTGTTAACCTTGTCCTTTAGATCAGTCCCAATTTTTTTTTCTGTGGACCCATATTTTAGTCACAAAACTTCGCGACTAGACATTATTCGTAAACTCCTGGGAAACATTATACGAGATGACTAAAAGAAAAAATCTTGCGACACGCCTGAGGGCTGCGACCCAGTCTTTGGGAAACAATGCTTTAGACCGGTCACGTTCAAAGACAGAGCGAGCGAGTAAAGTTCATGTTGTTTCTTCCATGAGAAGCCGTCACATTCCTTCCCGGTGATCTGAGCGTCTCCACTGTTTGTGGTGGGAAGAAACCCCTAAGTGAGGAACCACTGATGGCTGGGACACAGTGGCCCTGAGGGGCCCTGCACTGGAAAACACAGCCATCCATCAGCGCTAACACTCACTAGGAGGAGAAATCCGCCTGCGCTCGCATGCCGGAAGACGGATGACAGTGAATCACACATATATTTACATGTTTAAACATCGCAGCATACACCCAGAGTCCAAAACCACACACACACACACACACACACCCCCAAGCGGTCACCCGGAGGGCAGGGCTCTTGGTGTTACCTCCAGCAGAGTGGATAACAGCGGTGGTTTCACTTTGAACACCACAGATATGTTCAAATGGAAACGATTGGGAGCTGCCGAGCCACACCAGGACCACACACAGGCGCGTTGACCACAATGCGCCACAGCAGAGACAGGCCGGGAAAACACACACACACGCTCCATTCATATGTCGCTACTCACGGTGACCAGCCAAACTATCGCATCCACTGCGAATCCATGACGCTGTTTGTTCTGAGGGTTCTTTTTCGCAGGAGTGAGTCATTTTACAGAAACAATAAGAAAAAGTGAAGAAACAAGACGTGTTCATTCAGCTTTTAGTTAGCGATAATTAGATCCTCACGTTCATTCTTGCTAGGTTTCGCAACGGTAACTGCACTGGATTTGAAGCTACTCTGTGTCGTTATTAGTTATGTTTGAAGCTGTCTTCAGTTAAGTTGATGTGTACCGTATTATACCTAGCAGTTTGTGCGCTAACGTGAGGTAACACATTTTTTGTTTTTCGGTGGAGATTTAGCTAACTGTAAGCCTGCTAGCTAACATGACAACTAGGCTAATTCCAGTAATACCAGGAAGATTTTTTTTTTTTTTGTTAACCAAAATATATATATATATATATATAGGAAGACAAGCAGGGAAGGGGGGAAAGAAAGAAGGATCCGTATCTAATTGGTCGATATCTATTTAGCTGCTTAAATACAAGCAGGAATTTTCTGTGTCTGGAAGATCTTTCTATAGCCTCCCTAGAAACCATGTGGAATCTTTTATAAGATTGGCAGGAAACAGTCAGACAAATGTTTTTCACAGATACATACGTATCTTCTTTTGTGTGTTCACCAGAGCCAGAGTCTCAGTCTAAACCATACATCATAGCAGGTCTCACTGCTGATGTATAAACATTTCCTTTTAATTTTGCTGCTATTCTTCTTTCCAAACCCTCCCCTGACACTGGGCTCTATCCATATAAATGATATATAAATGTAAATCGGCATTTGACATGGTAACTGTAGGATGTCTTCTTGTAAAGTGTGTTGAACCTCCAGCTTCACCTTTCCAATATTACTTGGTCAAATGCTGGAAAAGTTGGAGGACGGGTGTTTTGTGAGTTGTTAAATATGTTGGGAGATGATCAGGGTCCAGATCTGTCTGTCTGTCTGTCTGTCTGTCTGT